TTCCCTCCCTCCCTTTTTCTTTCTTAGATATCCCTTTTGTTCGTTTGAGTAACAAAAAAAACTAAGGAAGGAGTTTTCATCAAGGACATAAGCTATTTCTACACCTAGTTTTTATTCTGTCATGTACAAATGAAGGGAAAGATAACTGCCCTCTGACAATTTTTTTTAAATTTATTTCTAATTTATTTTTTATTTTTTTATGGTGACATTGGTTAACGAAATCCAATAAGTTTCAGCTGTACACTTTAACAGTAAGGCATATATATATTTACACTGTGTGTTCATCTCTCATAGTTCTTTCTGTCACCACATATTTGACACCCTTTACCCCGTCTACCTCCCCACTTCCCCCACACCCTACCCTCTGGTAACCAAAGAATAGACACATTTGTCTTGTTCTTTATCATACAGGAAAAGATTTATACTATTCACCACTGAGTATGTTGGCTATGGGCTTGTCATATATGGTCTATGGGCTTGTCATATATGTATATATGTACCACAGCTTCGTTAGCCAATCATAGGACAGTTGGGTTGCTTCCATGTCCTGGCCACTGTGAATAATGCTGCTATGAACATTGTTGTGCAAATATCTTTTCGTATATGGGTTTTCAAGGCTTTGGGGTGAATACTCAGTAGAAAGATTGCTGGATCATGTGGTAGATCAATTCTTAGTTTTTTGAGCAACTTCCATACTGTTTTCCATAGTGGCTGTACCAATTTGTGACAAAATTTTGATGTCCCAGAAATTTAAGTACTAGAAATTGCTTGCTGTAATGAAGAGTTGACTTTCTTTGGAGTCAGACAAAGTACATTTTGAGTTCTGGCATTGCTGCTTTCTATTTGAGTGACTTTGGGTAGATCATTTAACTTTTCTGAATTTCAGTTCGCTAATGTATAAATTAAGATAATTATACCTACTGTGAGGTTGTTGACAGAATAAGAGAGGATTTACTTAAAGCATCAGGCTGTTACATGCAAGTGTTGACTCTGTGGCCGCTCTTCTATGACCATTTTTTCCCCTATTTTTCTACTCTTTTTTCTTTCAGTTTTATTTTTAAGATCTTGATTACTTATAGACATCAAATCTTATCTCAGCTGGAAACTAGATCATTTATGAAATGACCAAAACTTTGCATTTAAAACCTTTGCTTGCATACAGAACAGCAAAAATGATTTTATTTTATTCCTGCATTTAATTGAGAAAGGGAGGGGTATGATAGAATGAACTACATTTAACCTCGGGGTCAAAAATAAAACAAGAAACTATAATTAAAATATGAGGCTTGAATTCATAAACTATATATATTGTTGTTTAATTATTTTACCCTGGGTTTCTTTATTATCATCTTTAATGTATTTCTTATACATGCATATGAAGAAGAGTAAATAAATATCCAGTTTAAACATTTTTTGAAACTTTAAATAACTGCTCCTCAAATGAAAACTGATAATAAAATGGTGCAACAGCGGGCCAAAACAGATCATTTGTGAAGTGGCACACTAAAGTCATGAAACTCCAGTAAGGGATGTTCTTTAAAACTGGAGATCTGAGCACCAGAATGAAACTAGTCTTTAGGTGGAATAAATTAATTCTTAACTTAGTACTATTGAAAGTGTGATTTAATATTTTAAACTCCCTGGCATATGCCAAACACTGGTGCCTGTTCTAGTAACTATTATTGTTCTTAATTTAGAAGGTGTTCAAAGTTAAATAACTTGCCCAAGTTTGCTCATCTAGATACTGGAATCACGATTTAAACTCAGTTCTGTTTGATTATAAAGTCCATTGTTCATTTACAGTATTATACTGAGCAATTTCTACTTGATTGTAGTCATTTATGGTTTGTAACTAGAGGTATTGAAACAGATTACATAGGCTAATACCTTCCTCCTTCTTGAGTGTCCTAAGGCTTAGAATGAAAAATTTTAGCCCTCTTTTACTTTATTTCTGTTCGTACCCAGAGTGACGATGACTTTGCATTTATTCATTCTAAATTCTTTGTGTGCTTGTACAAAAAGACATGTAGAAATACTGAAACCATGATGTGCAGAAATAGTGAAGCTTACTTAGGTTGAGGTGAAATTATCAGACTAGATTAATTAAAAGTGTTTTGAAAGGAAAAAAAGACTTTTTTTTCCCCTTCTGTTAAAGATAACACGTATTAACTTCATCATGAAAAATATAATTCTTTATAAGTTTTTAAAATCCTAAAATTAACAGATGAATATCATTGACATATTTTGCTCTAAAAAGGTATGCTGACATTGTGTTTTGTATTTATTTCCAGAGTGAGTGAGGTGGAGTGGGGAGCGAGAACCGATTTATTCCCTTTAAAGATATTTGCATATTGTTCACACTGGATAGTGCCTTAAGTACTCTTATTTATCTAGATTTTGTAAAGTAAGTTCTGTAGTTTTAAGAGTTACAAATGTTTTCTTTTTTCTTCTCATTTCTCTTACCTTCACATTATTATAATGTATTCTACATATCTTTATTGAATTTTCTTATGTCTTGCTTATTTTACAGTGACCCAAGGCAAAAATAGATATAGGCACAAATTGAAAGGCTCAAGAAATTGTATTATAAGTTTATTTTTAAATAATCAATCATAGAATACTAGGTAACCCTATATAGCAGCTTTTATTTTATTTTTAATTTAAAATCACGTTTTGATTTATATTTATCATATCTTTCAAACATCATCCAGCTGTTCTGTCAGCTATTTCAGGCAACAGAGTTCCTGTTGTTCTGCTGCTTAAGCAAGTGTTAATGGACAGAAATTATTCCTAATTACTCTTTTTTTCCCCACTTCTTAGCCTGCTGTGTTGTTTGTGTTTTCATTAGCAATTGCTAAAGAGGGGAATTGGAGGAGATGAGAACTGAGAGATGCTCAATTATTGCAGTGGTTGAAAACTTCCTGAATTTGCCGAGAAATTTTTTAAAGTTAATTTAAGAAAAACAATTCATGTGATTTGATTACAATATTTAATTGCTTTCTCTTGTATCATATAATAATTAATTCCTCTTGTAAAAGCGCCTAACTTTCGATTCAGGAGGAGGTTAAGTATTGTAAGCATGTGGCTTATTTTATATGATGTTACAGGTTAAAATAGAACCTTGGCAGGAGTGAGGAGGCCTCAAATAAATAACCAATTTCATGATTATGCTTCTCATAACTTATGATTTTATTATAATAAGAAAAATGTATATTTGGATTCATATGATTAAATATTAGCTAATGGATATTAAAAGTTTGGTGCTTTACTATATATCTTTGAAAATTAATAAACTATATTTAATATTAAGTCAAGCAACTTTTAAAAGTTTATTGTGTGTCCCTCCCATATTTACCTTCTAAAATCACAAATACAGGATTTTGGATGACATTTTTTTAAATTATAAAAACAATATACTTGGAAATAAAATTTTAGAAGTATAAAAGTGGTATATAAAATGAAAAGTAAAGTTCTTCTCCCTTCCAACCTCCAGTCTTAATTCTCATATCCTCTTCCCCATAACTTTTTAGTTCTTTTGAGTGGTTGCTTCTCTTCTGTAAGCAACGTGCTTACACCTGTTTCTTAATTTATGTAGTTTCCTTGTTGACTCAGGTTGTTGCTTTGAACCATTAGGAATTTGACTTCTTAAACATTTCTCAATTTTGTTATCATATTTCTTCCTCCATTATCTTAGTAATTCTCAGTATTATACTTTGAGCTATATTGATTGCGTTGTTAATTTTAAACAGTAACTGGTGGCTGCCCAGGATAGAACTAGGCCATTGAGGTTTCCGTTCTTCTCTCCTTCTCTGCCCCTTACTGCCTGGCTTCTCTCAGCTACACTCTTAGTTCTACAGTGTCAAAATGTAAGTTCTGTTCTTTTCCTATAACTGTTTTTCATGTTTTGTCTCTTGAATTTGAAAGTCGAAAACTAATAAATAGCACTTATAGTATTTATGTGAATATTATTTGCCTAGTTTATCATGCCATGTGTTAAATGATCAGTTTTGGACAGGCTGTTCTCTGAGCCCTCAGCATAGCCATCATTACGGGCTTCTTTTTATTGCCCGCCTGGATTCTTAGTTCTCCTCTTTTCTTAGATTCTTCGATGTCCTCTTTTTATTTTTCCTTTTTCACTGTTGACTGGTGTACATTTTCCAAAAATTTTTACAGAAAATGCACGGGAGATTGATTCTGAGTCCATATATATCGAACTGTCTTTTTTTTGGAGGCGGCGGTTGTGGGGGCGGGTAGGGAGTGTCACCTTCTACTTAAATAACTTTAAAACATCTAATGTAGTAACTTTAAATGTAAATTACTTTGCAAGAACTGAAATTTCTATCATAAAGGAGTAAGTGGTTTTATAACAGTTTAAACATTTGTCATCTATACTTACTGGAATATTTATTAGATCAACAGGAGAAAAGATTAAAAACAAATAGGAAAGCATAGGTATCTGGAAATTTTAAAAATTCTGTGGTTTTCTGAGGATGTGTATAATACAGAAATTTATAAAGAAATTTATTTTCTACACATTTTTATTGTTAGACATTTAAAAACTAAATCCCTCCTATTAATTTCCACTACCTTAAGAAATAGTTGACATAATACCAATTTTTTTATAATACCAATTTTTTGACATAATACCAATTTTTTCTTTTCTGAAAACGGTCTGTTTTGATTTATAGACGGTATGTGTGTGT